CTCATGACAATCCTATTATCATCACAATAGTAATTGATGACTATCAGGTGAAGCGGATCATGGTTGACGCGGGGAGCTCGGTGGACATCCTGTATGTCAGCGCCTTCAATCAGATGGGCATAGATAAATCCCATTTGCTCCCCTATAGAGGACCCCTCATGGGATTTACCGGACATTCTCTCTTGCCAGAAGGGATGATCACTCTCCCACTGATAGTCGGAGAGTACCCTAGGCAAGCCACCGTCCAAGTCCAGTTCCTGGTGATGGATCTGAAGTCGGCCCACAATCTCATCCTAAGGCCAAACCACCCTCCACCTCTTGCGGGCCATTCCTTTAACTTACCACCAGATAGTCAAGTTCCTGACTCCAAATGGAGTCGGAGTCACCAGGAGCAATCAGCGAGAGGCCAGGTCCTGTTAGCTACTCTCGGTTAAGGGAAAAGGTGTACAAGGCACAATGCCCACTGAGAAAGCCTGCCTCTAGTTAGAGAAATAAAGGGAGCAGCAGAGGACGAAACCGGTGGAAGAGCTTCAGGAGATACCCATTGACCGAGAAGGATTGAAGACGGTCAAAATTGAGTCCAGTCTAGTTGAGCCCTTGCGAGGAGCTTTGACCAAATTCCTACAGGCTATCGCTGACGTGTTTGCCTGGGGACCCGAAGACATGCCGGGGGTTCCCCTCGAAGTGATCAGCCATGAGTTAGCCGTCGACAAGCATACCAAGCCTGTTCGATAGAAGAAAATGCATCTCGGCTCGTAGCGCCAGAAGGCGGTGGCCGATGAAGTCAAGAGGCTTCTTAAAGATGGCTTCATCCGAGAAGTTCAATACCCGGAGTGGTTAGCTAATGTTGTCTTGGTGAAGAAAGCACTGAATAAATGGAGGATGTGCGTGGACTTCATCAACCTCAATAAATCTTGCCCTAAGGACAGCTACCCTCTGCCTCACATTGATCAACTGGTGGACGAGAGCGTGGGTCATGAGCTAATCAACTTCATGGATGCCTTCTCTGGCTACAACTAGATATTCATGGCGAAGCATGATCAGGAGAAGACCACCTTCATCACCAATTTGGGCACCTATTGTTATAAAATGACGGCCTTCGGTTTGAAGAACGTTGGGGCAACATATCAGAGACTTGCCAACAAGGCCTTTTAGCATCAGATCGGCCACAATCAAGAAGCCTATGTGGATGACTTGCTGGTGAAGTCAAAACAAGCGTCTGCCCATATTTCAAACCTGAACGAGACCTTTTTCACCATTAGGAATTACCGAATGAAGCTCAATCCTGCCAAATGTGCCTTTGGGGTACAATCGAGAAAATTCTTAGGGTTCATGATTACCCAGAGAGGCATAGAGATAACGCCCGAGAAGATAACCGCCATAGAGCGACTCCTAGAGCCGCGCACATTGAAGGACATTTAGAAACTGAATGGAAAGATCACGGCTCTAGACCGATTCCTCTCCAAATCCACTGAGAGGAGCCTCCAATTCTT